CCTGTACTCCTCTGCCCCCCCCCCCGTCCCTCCCTCACCGTGGACAGAGTCAAACTTGATGAGGTAGGCCACGCTCTCAGGGGCGGCCAGATCGTTGAGGGACACAAAGTCAAACGACTCCTCACGGTCAAACGCCAGCCTGCGGGGCTCGACAGGCGCAGGGGGCACGGGGGTCTGGCAGCGCCCCTGACGGCAGACCAGGGGCGGGCCGGGCCTCTCTGCCTATGGGGCGAGCGGTGAGTGGCCGCGAGGGAGGTCCCCACACACCTGAAGGCGAGGCGGCCGATGCGACCCAGGCCGTTGATGGCGACCTTGACAGGAGCCATTGTCTCGCTGGCAGGAGTGCTCTGCGCGTGAGGGCGTCCGAGGGGGAGTGGACGCGCTGTGGGAACGGCGGCTTTCACGCGCGGTCTGATCGCCTCGCCGCGGAGATGCGCGGCACGCTGAGGCCGCCGCACTTGCACAAACATTTGCTTCTTATTGCACATTCCACGTCAACATGCTTACACACACCACTGCGGGCTCCATCTCCCGGCCATTTTCACGGGTTACCTGCACGAAGGCACAAAGGTACCCGTAATAAGAATACTTATGTGTTATTATCAACAATGGTGAGGGTCTGCAGGAGTATCGCTCCGTTCTCGACGCGCAAAAGCAAAGATGCCATTTGTAATGTGTGTGCGCGTTCCCGACATACACACACACGACGCGCACACACAAGGTCCCGGAACAAATGATGAAGCTTTAAAATAAGGTACACTTCTTGATAGTATCGATTGACGCTGCGAAAGCTTCTGTGCCTGCACCGCAGTGGGTGATCAACCACACGTCAACACATACATGGCTGCATTAACTACAGTTGTCACCTGTGGATCCTGTATAGATGGGCGCAGTGGCACGCTGAGGTGCCGCGTGGCGGGCGCCAAAGAGGACGCCGCCGCGTGGGTCGACGATGAGAGCAGCACTGTGCTCTGCAGGGTCCCACAGGCGCGTGCGCCTTTGCATCAGAACAGCCGCGTGATATCTGTCACAAGACATCTTGTTGCCTGTGCTCGTCGCCGCTCAGATGGTTGCGGCTGCGCGATGATGATGGTGCTCGGAAGATTCCGACGCGCTCTTCACGCCTGCACACTCGCCCCTTCTGCCACCCAACCCTCTCTTTGCAGGACTGCCTCGCGCCCGACATGGCGTATGAGGTGGTGGACGACAAAGGGCGCCTCCTATGCAGGAGCGGCGGCGTCGGCACCGGCGGCAAGGGGACGTGTGACCCAGCAGTAGCTCCATGCGGCGGCCCCAGCACCGCTGGTACCACCTGCGTAGAGCAGCAGCGCGGCCGCGCGGCCGGCGGCGCCGCGGCCCCCCTGGCTAATCTGTCGTGGCTGGACCGCCTGCTGCCTGCCTGGATCATCGGGTCGATGGTCGTAGGCGTCCTGCTGGGCAACTTCGTGCCGGGTGCGGGGCCAGGGGTCGGGCGCAGGTGCTGGCGGGGTGCTGGGTGCAGGGCCCTGCCCTTCCCCGCGGCAACTATGGTTGCCCGCTCCCGCGGCGCCGCAGCCACTGCAGTGAAAGAATCGCTTAGCAACAGCCATCGCAGTGGGAGGGCACGCGCCTGCGGCGGCTTCCGATGACGTCGCTGCGGCTTGCGACTGCTGCAATCTGGTTCAAGCCGGGAGCATGGCTGCAGCATGGCTGTCCCCCCCCCCCCC